TATTTATGGTTATCCATTAATGTTGAATAAACATTTTATATTTTTAATGAAAATAATGTGGAAGTGTCTAAGATTACTTTCTAAACAAAACGTTTTTGGGGGTGTCATTTTATCTTTTATTTCATATATTTATGGCTATCCACAAATATTTATTGATATTCATGAATATTTATGGCTATCCATAAATGTTGAATAAAAGACCAAATGACACCCAATACTTTTCTTTATCAACCAGTTATCTGATTGAAATGTTAACATAGTTATATATTGAAATTTTGCATTTTTTATAAAAATAATCCTTAGAATAATTCGTAAACATTACATTTCTATAAATACTGTGTTTATCACAGGTGTTAATCAAACTTTTTGAAATTTTGCATTTTTTATATAAAAATAATGCTTAGAAAGTGTCGAAGAATATTTGTAAACATTACATTTCTAAAAATCCTGTGTTTATCACAGGTGTTAATCAAACTATTTGAAGAGTGTTTATGTTAATTAAACACTATGTTTAAAATGTTGTTGAATATATACATACAAAAAGTGTTACAGAGCTGTAAACAGTTAAAACTGTTTAATATGTACATGCTTTGAAGTGTTTATTAAATAAACATTGTGTTCATTAAAGTGTTTATTTGGCCTAAATGTTGTGTTTATTTTCTCTAAACATCGTGTAAAATTGCCTCATGCTCATGTGTTTAAAAATTAAACATTTTGTTTAACACTAGACACATTGAAGTGTTTATAAAGTGTTACAAATTAAACACTTTAACATATTTATTAAAGTGTTTAAATCCTAAAGACTTTTATTTACAGAGTATGAGCGAGAATATGAGATCATTGATTGAATTGAAGGGTTGTTGATCACGAGTTTGTTGCGCCATAATTCATGTAAGGTTTGAACGTTTACTGTGAACTCATGTACTGTGTTTCTAATATTAGCATTTACGGATGACGATTTAGTCATGTATTGTTACTTCTGTCTCGCCATTGAATTATAGTTTAACATTAGATGAAATCATTAACGTTGATTTTGATTGCATTGTATGATATTGAGACGATTATCAGTATTAACAATATTGATGCCATTATTATCATTGTTGTTGTTCATGGTTTAAGCGAATCATTGATTGTTATATTTGTATTTCTTTAGTCACCAGACTAAACAGAGTTTGCAGATTAATGCATTGGTGTATATTTAGTTTGCGTTTGTTTACATGGGCGCCCTCATCGTTGACCAAACTCACAGCAGTTAACCCTACACATTACACAACAGTGAATGAATTTAGCAATGGCTGAGCCAGCGGTAGAAGACGTGACTAGAACGATAGTTCGGAGGAACAGAAAAGGAGCATTGACCAGGAGCCTGAAGTCATTGGATACCTTGATGGCAGCGGAAGCAGAAACCAAAACAATCGAGGAGATGTTCACCAAAGCGAAGCGACAGTGGGAAGGTAGAGATCGCGCATCAAGAACTAGTCGACACACTAGTGGAAGAAGCAGCGTATGAGACAGAGGACCTCTGGATGACAGATGCGGAAGCTGGGTTCCTAGCAGCCAGAGTTAAGGTAGGAAAATATCTTTCAGTTGTGAATAATGATATTATTGTAGAAGATGATCATGACGATCTGATGGTACCAGCCGAAGTGGCAGACTCAGTAGCTGAACATAGTGTTCAGGTAAATGTGAATCAAGCCGAACCTAAATTAATGAAATTTCTAATGCCGTAGCTAGTAATAATAGTACTTCTAGCGTAGAAGCTGATGGAGATCAGCTTAATCAAGTAGCCGGTGCTTACAAAGTGTTCAAATTGAACCGTTTAGTTCAAATGAAGTACAGATCAGCGGCAGCAGTGCTGCTAGTGTCAATTCTCAATCTGCTTTAATAGGCGAATTTAAATTAGCTCTAGATACACACAGTATCTTGGTGATGGTTGATACTGTCTCTTATGGCAAGGTTAGAGATGCTGCACCATATGGAGACATTGACATTGAAAAATTGGAGTGTGTTGGCCACGTCCAAAAACGTGTTGGGAGTCAACTTCGAACTCTGAAAACCAACAAAATGGAATAAAATTATATGATGGAAAACTTATTGGTGGGATGAACAGGCTAACAGATCAAAAAATGAATGCCTTGCAAAACTACTATGGCCTAGCGATAAGAAAAAATTCACACAATCTGGAAGGCATGAAAAAGGCGGTGAAAACCCTTTGCACGACCGCTGTCGACAGAACAGTTAGTGTGAATATCAAAATAATCCGGATAATTATAGACATCGTTATGGATTGCCAAATGCTATTGTTAAAGAATTAGAACCGATTTTTGAAAGGCTGTCTTTGGAAGAGTTACCGAAAAAGTGCCTTCATGGCAAAATCCAAAAAACTGTATAACCCTGGTGCCTTTTAAGGCTAATTTCCACAATAACTGGCCCAAATTCACATTATAAACATTAAAAAATCTTATAAAAAAATTTTTAATTGATGATTTCTCAGATTGACACCTATGTAATTTTAAAACATCATATCTCAACTTCTACTGGAGTAAACCTTATGAAACTTGGCAAAATTGTACTTCTATTAATACTCTAGTGCCTAAAATTTGAATTAAAAAAATTGAATGTTGCAATCAAATGTTATTAGGCCATGAATATTTATTTAGCAGTCGAAAAATTTGAAAAAAAAAAAAAACATTTTCCTCAAAAATTTTTTAAGTGGAAAACTCCAATCCTTTTTTAGTTCCTATGCATGTAATGCAATAGGAACTATTGTAATCACTCTCACATTTCTTTTGTTTTTTATTGTGTGTAGTATGTGTGTGCGTATGTGTATAGACATTTATGCAAATGCGCATGCGTCAAAGAAAAGTTTTCCGACATTTCGTTTTACATCGCCATGCAAAGTTCGATGTGGATTTTCTGCAGAGTTCAGTCAGGGCTCACGCTAACCGATCGGCAAGTCGGCATGCATGAAACTATTTTGGTTTTACGGCAAAAAAATTAACTGCTGTGGCATAGGTATTTTGAAGAAGGCCTAAAATAAAACAAAAAGGTTTTAATAAACTTGCTGAAATACATCGTTTTTTCATTTAGATCTCCATTTTTCACTAACTCCATGCGACGTTTTTTTCTGTTGTACGAGTAGTCCATAGAGCTATTAAACAACTAGAGTGTTGACAAGATGGCGCAGCAATGCAGAATTATGTATGTGTACCATCCAAGATGGCCATCGTAGTAAAGCGCCACCTTCAGGCTTAGTATACATATTATTATTCTTATTATTATTATTTGTTATTTATTTAGGCACACAATACATGTGCCAAGGATTGTCAATAGCGAATATATCACTGTCCTACTTGTAGGTGACAATCTCTTACACAAGACAAACATACACACACGATGCTTTACACAAACACAAACTAAATCTTAATATGAGATTTAGGAAGTGGAGTTGTTTTGGTTGTGAGAAAAAATTCTGCAACACTGACAGGAATTGAACCCATGACCCTGGGATTGAAAGCCAAGCATCTTAACCACCAAGCTATTCAACTCCACTACATATTAAAAAGCCCTCTGACTGACTATTATTCCATTAATGACAATGAGTAATGGTAATAATAAATTATTAAACTATTGTAGCCAAAACGAGGCCAAGTGGAGCATCTTATTCAAAAATAAGTACCAAGGAATGAAAATTAAAATCGTGTACCTTACACCCAAACACCGCAACGCTCGAGTTTCAAACATACGGGTAGCTAGCTGTACTGAACCCTCTGAGTAAATTGAGGGCGCAATTGCAAACGATGGTGCTTAGCGAAATTTGTTTGGCTAAATCTATGGCAGCCATCTTGGATGGTACCCACACAGTTCTGCGTATTTCGAACATCGAATACATTGCGGTTAGCGTTCTAGTATTCTTATTATTATCTCTATGGAGTAGTCATATGAAGGTACCATATCCCCGACAGTTGGCTATGCAGCAATATACCCTTTGAATACAAATTGAAGCCAACTGTCAGGTACATAACGACAATCTAACTTTCCACAAAAACATTAGGCCTAAGCTAGGCCTAGTTCAGTACAGTAATTACTGCGATGGGAGGGTGGTAGATCGTTCAGTTCAGTCTAATACATTTTAATAATGTGTGTACAATTTAAGAATGCACCGCGTGGGTTGCTTTCTTTGTTATGCAGTAGTAGGCCTAGTATACGTAGCAGAGCAATCTAAGCCTAGCCTAGGGCCTAGATGGTATACGTTCTTGAGCTTCTTGATCATCGTAATGAAAACTTCGGGTGACAGACGATTGGGCCCAACTGGTGTGGACGATCGGACCCAAGATAGCTTCAAATAAATTGTAGTCCTAGTAGGCCACCACCCCAACTCCTGATATCGTTCCAAACTACTGTAAAATGAAATTACTGTATACCTAGCTAGGCCTAGGCCCATGCCTACGAAATTTTTTCAAAGAAATTTGCTAAAAATATTACTGTAATTTGCCTGTCGAATTACATTGCCGGCGACATCAGTAAAATGTTCTATCAGGTTAGGATTCCACCAAGAGACATGCACGTCCACAGATTCTTGTGGAGAAAATTTGAAGAGCGTTCACCTGACACATATGTTCTCGCCATTGTGACGCCGGGGGATAAACCTGCACCAGCCATGACATTGACTGCACTACTAAAGACAGCTATGGAAAATGAAATTGACCACCCACAAGCCGCAGCAACTTTACAGCGAGACACATACATGGACGATATTTGCACTTCAGTAAAGAATGAAAAGGAAGCCATTGAACTGACTAAGGAGAAAGACAACGTCCTATCCACAGCAGAATTTAAAGTTAAAAAATGGGTCTCCAATGCTAAACTACATGTTGACCAAGATCACTCTGAGCAACCTGTGATGTCTGAGGACACTGAGCAGAAGGTATTAGGTGTCGTGTGGGAGCCAAAGACAGATGAGCTAGAGTACAAAGTACAGCAAGATGAATTACACGGCAGACTTACCAAGAGAACCGTACTGAGTGAAATCTCAAAAATCTTCAACCCAATTGGATTTGCCGGTGCATTCCTGATACGAGCCAAGATAATGGTACAGCGACTTTGGGCAGCAGGAGTTGGTTGGGACGATGAATTAGATTCTGAAGAGACATCCAACTGGTTCAAGTTCTTTGCCGAGATGAAGAGTCTACATGGTATTTCATTTAAGAGATGCTTGATCCCTGAACCAGATGCTGAAAATTTACAGTTAATCATCATCTGTGATGCGTCTGAGTGTGCCTTTGGCGCAGTGTGCTACACTAGATGGGAGACATCTAATGGTACGTTTGGTGTAGGATTCTTGACCGCAAAGTCCCGAGTTGCACCCCTGAAGGCATTAACAATTCTGAGGTTGGAGCTACAAGCAGCTGTGGTAGCCACCAGACTATACACATCTATAACCAAGGAAATGACTGTAAAGTTAAAAAAATATATTTTCCTCTCAGACTCGATTATTGCTTTATCCTGGATAAGAGGTCAGTCGCGTCTCTACAAGCCGTTTGTTGCCAACAGAGTGTCTGAGATCCAAGGCAACACCGATCCATCAGACTGGAAGCACATACCAGGAGAGTTCAATATTGCAGACAAAGTCTCCAGAGGCGTAAGTGTGAGTGACTTAAAAGGTGAATAGAAAGAAGGACCTTCATTTCTGAGCTTGCCTGAAATTGAATGGCCATGTTCCATTCCTAGGGCAAGTAAAGAAGATGTAGATGCCGAAAAACGGAAGCCAAAACCTGTAATGCTCATACAGCAGCTAGAAGCAGCAATTAACATCAATAGATACGCAAGTTGGCGAAGGCTTCTACGGGTGACACCATATGTTTTCCGATTTATAGTGAACACCAGAGCAAAGTGCTGCGTGGATGATGGCCCACTATCTGCACACGAATTAATGGTAGCTGAAAGACACTGGGTGATGGATGCTCAAAAATCCATAAAGGAGATTAAGGAATACAAGTCTCTAAGTCCATTTAGAATGAACGGTATAGTATATGTAGGAGGTCGTACAAGTAACAAGAGACTCTCATATGACCAGGCCTATCCTGTCCTTCTGCCAAGATGCTACCGAGCCTCATATCTGATTACCAGACAGATCCATGAAACTGGCCACTATGGCGTCGCTACAACTGCCGCAAAAGTAAGGCGAAGATTTTGGATTGTAAAGGCAACCACCTTAGTTAAGACTGTGAAGTTCCAGTGTACTAAATGTCGAGCTTTTGAGCACAAAGCAGAAAATCAGTTGATGGCGGAACTGCCCATAGAACGAATTACACCATAGTCACCATCGTTCCACTATACCGCAATAGACTACTTTGGACCTTATCATGTTAAAGCAGGAAGGAACAAGTCGACAAAGCACTACGGGGTGATATTGACGTGTTTGACGACCCGTGCTGTACACCTAGAGCTTGCTGTTGATTGTTCAACACAGGAATTCATACAAGTACTGAGGAGATTCTACGCAATTAGAGGTCGACCCAAAGTCATACAAAGTGACAATGGCACGCAGTTTGTGGGGGCAGAACGAGAACTAAGACAGATGACAGCTGGTTGGAATAAAGATCAACTAAAGGAGTACTGTGCTAATGAACAGGTAACCTGGAGATTCACTACACCATTAGCCCCTCACCACAATGGCTGCGCCGAATCACTGGTAAAGAGCTGCAAACATGCTTTAAAGAAATCTATAGGAGATCAACGTCTGACGCCGTTTGAATTGTACACATACTTCCAGGAAGTGGCAAACTTGATTAATGAAAGGCCAATTGGTAGAAAGCTGAATGATCCTGATGACGGTTCATTTATTTGCCCGAACGACATTCTGTTGGGGAGATCCACACGCCATGTAACTCAGGGCCCCTTCAGGGAAACCAAAACCAACGGAGACGTGTAGAGTTCGTCAAGAAGCTAGTCGATGCGTTCTGGAAAGTTTGGATTAGGGATGTGTTTCCTTCTCTTGTACCACGCAAGAAATGGAGTATTGAAAGAAGAGATGTACGAATTGGTGATGTAGTGATGTTAGCAGACCCCAATTAAGCTCGAGGAAAATGGACCATTGCAAGGATCACCGATGTATATCCAGGAAAGGACGGCCACGTGCGCAGTGTATCTGTAAAAAACCCCAATGGGAATTACGTTCGTCCCATAACTAAGTTAGCTGTTATATATCCAGTTGAGGGATACGAATAGATCCAAGTTTATGTGAATTCCTCACATGGTGGGGGAGGGTGTTTCGTCTAGAAACTAATTGTTTGAGAGCGCATTTTATTTTTAATATTTCTACTTGAGGGCACTAGATTTGCGTGGGTAATTCAGATCTTGCCGCTGAATTCAATGCAACTCATCATAATGTTTCTCTTGTATTCACTGGGTTTTACCGTTTAAAACCATACCTGATGTTAATGAATATCGTTAAGATGTTATGTAAGTATTTAAGAATTGTTTGATTGCAACATAACTGTTTGTATCTTCAAAGTATTAATTTAGCACAGAGCCTATGTAACACTCTGCTTAGGCCTAGACTGTCTCACGTGTATGCGGATAGCGGCGTGCTGTTTTGAGCAGTAGACTAGCTCTGCCTAGGCTTGTTGCTGTAGATTGACATTTATGCGTTGATTGATTCAGTTTAAAATAAGTTACTATGATTGAATATTTTTATACATTATAAGATTTGTGTGCTAATGCATTCTATATAATTCATGATGAATTTTAATGGGTTTTTGTAGGAACTAATTTATTTAAATATACTATATTATTTTCCTTTGTTCAGAAGGAAAGCATGGTTTGTGTGGCGCATTGATTTCCATTTCTAATTATGAAATGAGGCTTCCTTATCCATCATGCTTGGTACAGGCTTTTTATATGCTCTATTGTTTATACCGTACTTATCTTAATTCCATTCAGACTGTTTACCACTGAGAACATTGAACTGATGTACTGTTCTGATTTAATGTACTGTATAGTTGGAGAGATAAGTCGTAAGTTTATGTCGATCATTAATACTGTAATATGTTGCGACACTGTAATTAAATAATTACTGTTATTCATTAGTACTGAATTATGATGTTACATATTCTCTGTTTTCAGTATTTGATCTTCATGAGATTTACATAATGTTGTTGACTGATTTTGCCTTTCTGGTTTAATTCTTGTAGAATTGAATAAAAGTTCATCTAGTTATTTATACTGGAGTTATCTCAATACTTTCTCTCCACGTCTGAGCCGATCCCTGCCTCGCCAATCGTGTTTCATTATATGTCTTGTCATATATCATCTGTTCTTTCTCCTTTCCAGCATGGTTTTGTACCTGGTAGGTCGTGTCAGACCAGTCTTGCAATGATGCTGTCTGTTGCTTATGAAGCATTTGATTTAAAAAAGTCAGTGTGACATAGTGTATACTGACTATTCAAGAGCGTTCGACTTCGTCTGTCACGACCTACTACTAAAGGCCATCTCAGACAGCGTCGTACGACGCAGCCTGATGCGATTTGTTGTCGCGTCGTGTCTGTGTGAGTTAAACGCAGACGCGATGGTGAGCGCCGGGGGCAGTCGCGTCGTAGAATATTAAACATGTTTAATTTTTCTCACGACGGCTTAGGACTGTCCCAGACGATAAATCGGGTCGGGCTGCGTCGGCCGACGCTGTCTTAGTTGGCCTTTAGTGTACAATGTCAAGAAATTTGGCATCTCTGGATCTCTTCTCTCCTAGATTCAAAGTTACCTTCATAAACATTTTCAACGTGTAACCTATAATGGATTTACTTCTAACTTGCTGCCTGTCATATCCGGGATCCCACAAGGCTCCACATTAGGATATTTGTTTTCACAATGTTTGTCAATGATGTTCCTGATATATTTACATCTTCGCATCATCTTTTACAACAGCATATCCGGATAGGCTGTATAATTAGTTTTCTACTTGGAAAATGTCTCTCAATCCACGTAAGTGTCAGATTCTTACATTATCTCTTAAGAAACTAATATTCAATTATTATTACAACATTAATGGTTCGTTAATTAAGAAGCTTAATGTTCAAAAAGATTTTAGAATTTACATTTATTCTAAGCTTAATTTTAACAAAAAATATATAGAGCAAAAATGATATTAAATTTTGCATAATCGATTTTGTAAGTTTAACGTTCTTAGAATGTGGGCTGCTTGTCGACTGTCTCTTATTGTAATAGAGTGTATCTGACGTTATTTTAATCATTTCAAACATGAAGCCTCTGTGGTCTAATGGTTATGACGCTCGCTTTGACAGCCAGAAGTCGCAGATTCAAATCCAATCAGAGGCATTTATTACACAATTTCTTTATTAATAGGACAAAATTCGTTGAGATCTATGCTATACGGTGTATTTATGTCCTTTATTTGAACAGTGTTTTTATCTTTCTTTGATAATGTCTTTTTTTACCTTTATTTTCTGCTTGAATACTTATCAGATCCTTCTCGTTGGAGCATTCTGTAAAAATAATTGTATTATTTAAATAATATAGTTTACAAAACAAATCATTTTGACTTGCCTGTTAGCCTGATGATGAGTTCTTGATAGAAGGTAAAATGTTTTCACTTATAAATGCAATTAAAGTTAATAACATATAAGTAATAATAATACATTAATTATAAACATAGAGAATATTGATAATTAAATCCTTTAAACAACCGTTTTGTTACTCTCAAAATCTATACAACTCTTGTCCCTCCTTAACATAAATACGGTGTACCGAAGTGGTGCCCTTATCAATCTGGCCAAATGCATAAGCTCAAGAGTGTACAGAGAAAGGTTGCAAGTAAAGTACTTGTTTTCCTTTTGAGAATGGTTACTTTTTTTCATGGTGAAAGGCATGTTAAACTATATTAATTTCACTTAAAATAAATTTGATCTGATTGCATTGTCTTACTTTGCAACTGCCTGTTCTGTTTTTATCACTTTATATCTTCTCATATATTTGTTATATTAATGTGAGTGATATCTTAAATTTTCTCTGTCTTGGACATAATAAATACTTTTAAATACTCAATGTTAATACACTTTTTCGACTATCTGAGACACATTACAGGCTGACCTCTGGAATTGCCTCTTTGATACTAGTGAAAATTAAAATTTTCCCGCTTTAGAAAAACGTAAGCGTTTTTTTTTTTTGTTTGTTTTTTTTTTCTCTTTTGTGGGGTAACCCACCTTTATTCATTATCATTTTCATCTTTGTATTTGTATTTATGTACAAACAACACGATTCTCTAAATTAAAAAAAAAAGAAATTTAAATAACAAATGAAAACATAACATAAGCATTTATATAGTTTAATCAACTCTCCAATAAAATTCTTTAAATTGTTCTTATATGCACACCCTACTCCGGATTGCTACCGAACTTTATCATTGCTTCATCAAAACATGACAAACTATGCTAGGAGGTTCAATTTAGATTCATTGATAAGTTGTTAGATATATTAAGGTAAGGTTTCTTCCTTTTAAAATTTTGTACGTTTTCTTAAATGTCTCATTTAGATCACTTGATCAGTTTTTGGGATATCATCCCATCATCACCAACATTTATTCACTTCTTCATTTGACCATGAAAAATTATTATGATAAGTTTCATTTGGATCCATTGATAACTTTGTTAAGAT